ACTCACCACCCCCACCGAGAAAGCTGTTGATTTATTTTGCATAGCAACTATGAATTTTAAGTGAGTCCTATAACTGTAGTTTCCTCTGACCCTTCTCTAATGTTATTGCTCCTTAATGGAAACTTATTTCCCCATCCAAATCTTAGACCTTGGCAAAGCGAGTTAGCATCAGTGAAGATCATGTTTGCTCATTTGAGCAATTTTAAAAATGGCACAGATGAATATTTTCAGTGTTTTTCTGCCTACACTAGAGTGTGACTATATTAATTTATCTGTGCAATAAGAGACATTTCAGTCTCTTTGACCTTGTATCAATATGTTTGTTCAAATATAACATGTTATCTGATCTTTACTGATCTTAGTTGTGCTTCAGTGCCTCGCGGTAAGGTGAGGCTTTTTCATCTTCTCATCTAATCTCCCTGCATCTACCAGGCAGCACTCACTTTGCCCCAGGCTAAATGTATTCTTTTTCATAGTCTGTAATTGCTCCACTGATGTGTATTTTTTAAAATGCAGCAGTAATACAGCGCTCTGATAATAAAAAAAGCAGATGGGAAGAGAAAGAAGTGTGAGTAGGAAGACAAGGAAAGAAAGGGAACAGAGAGGAGGTAAAAATGAGAGGAAGTGAAGAGGTAAGCGTATTAGTATGGAGGGATCAGGCCAGAGGAAAAAATGGGGATGAGTTTGAGTGACCTTCTCCTTTGACCACAAAGTCACCTCATGGTGTCAGACATTGCATTTTTTTTCTCTAGCACAATAGAAGAATAATGTTTGAAACATTTTATTTAATACCAAAATATATATATATATACATATATCTACAAAACCATCAATTTTATAACATAATTAGTCCTATAGATTTCTGGAGCAAGTACATTTTTCACTTCTGATTTTTGTTTTCACAAATGGCTAGTAGTTTGATCAGTTTTACACATGGTTTCTTGCACTTTTTTTTTGTCTTCCAATAAAAATGAATTTAATTAGAATAAATTAGATATAATGCCTTATTTTCATGAGAAAAATAAGGCAATTATCATAAATTAGGAAGTGTTTCACTGGCCTAAAGTAACTATGCAGTCATTAGTCATAAAATAGAATGTTATTGGAAAGTTCACTTATTGAACTGGGTTCATAAACTAAGTAAAACAAATTTTACAGATTAATTAAACACAGAGTGATGTTTTGAAACTGTTATTTTTGTTAATTCTGACAATTTTTTCTTTCTTTTTGCTGCGTTTCTTTTACTTCACACATTCTGTTATGAAGGACATAATTTTCACAAATCTACCAACACTCAACTTGACTCCTTGTAAACATCGCAGTAGAAAATGTTTTATTAATTTTTGAAAAAAAAAACACATTGATTTTTTTTGTTTTTATTATTATTATTCCAACAGATAATTGCAGAAATATTTATAAGATTGAAGTATGACCTTAAACAACTTCAGTGAGCAATGAATATCTATGTCAGATTACAGTTTAAAGAAAAAAATTTACATTAAAGTAATAGTTACTTTGAATTATTGCAACATTTCTCTTACTTTGAGAAATGTTGCAATAATTCAAAATGTGCTAATTTTGAATATTTTCTTTTAGACATAAATATCACCATTAAAAACAAACTTGTAAATTTTTTCCTCAAGTAAAGCATACAATGTGTTTTGTTTACCTTTTGAATCGTTCTGTACCAGATGGTGGCATATAAACAGAGAAAGACAGAGTGGAAATAAAGCAGAGAAACATGCAGACCACTCTTCCCTTGAGCCCCATGGCAGCTTCTAATTGAGGTATTGACTGATTTAAATGAGGCAGAAATGCACTCAAGAGTTCAATCGTCTCATGCTGGGGCATTCTCAACTGCACACGCTGCATGGAGTCAGAATACACAGATTGCACCACGCATGGATACACCAATATCCTCAATAAAAAACACCCTCAGTAAGTATAAAGACTAAAATATGTCCATGCGAGTAATGTTTATTTAAACATGAAAACAGAAAGACATTGAGCTGCAGATATGATAGTGTTGGTGACCAGGAATACAGTGATACATCTTGTGTTAAACAGTACCATGTGCTTTTTAGTGATGTTGTTTATGTTGCATATTCATATGTTGTTTTGTCCCTGCAATTTCACCCCTATTTGTCATTTTCTCTCTTTCTGCAGGAGTAGAAGCAGACTTCTAGAGGGTTTTCTCAACTTTTTGTTATCCTTCTCTCTCTCTCTATTCTTATTTCCCTTTGTCTGAAAAGACAAAGAGGGAAATGTATCTGCAAATTGCATTTGAAGTAAACACACATTTATAAAACACTGGACAAAATTAAGCCTCATGATTGTTCCACCAAATATTGATTAACTCTTCCTGAGGTAAAATATTAGTGTGGCTGTTTTTAAATGGATATGAACTTGTTTTCTTTGCATTATTTGAGAACTGAAACACTGGATCTTTTTTACCATTTTGGCCATTTCTCATTTTCTGCAAATATACGTATTACATCTTTGCTTGGAATTTTGGGGACATGCGGTCAGTAGTTCATAGAATGAAAGAACAATGTTCATTTTACTTAAACATATACCTATAAAAAGTAAAATCAGATAAACTGATCATTTTAAGTGATCTGTTAATTTTTTCTCAGAGCACATTTACTTTCACTATTGTGAAAGTAAATGTGTGGGGTTTCTCCTTGGCACTCAATTCTGAGTGCTACACTGTTGGATAGGACACACATGAAAAAAAAGTGCTGTAATGGTCTCCACTTTTCAAACCGCTCATGTGAGTAAGTACTCCTTTATTGAAAGCATCTTGAATACTTAAGTACATTTTGGGAATTGAAATGTGAAATGTGATCTGCTGATGAGTGAAAAGAGTGTGGCTGAGCCAGCATGTCATAACTACAGACACCAATAACAGCAGCGTTAGAACAGCACAGAGTATTATCTCAGGGTAGCAAGAAAATAAAGCTGCATCTGAGATAAACTAACTCAAAAATATTGCAAAAAAATGTATTATTCAGGTCTAAATGTGGGGCATAAATTGCAACATTTGTTAAAAGAAGTTTTAGCTTAAAACATTTTTTTTATTGTATGCAATATTTAAAATTCTACAACAACCTTTTGTTTTAATGCTTATTTTTATTTATTAAATTAAATTGTTGCAAGGAAAAGTTATTTGAGTGGACCATAAAAATTTTACTGAAGATCCCTGCTAAAGGTTTTTTGTTCAGAGATTACAACACTATTGAAATACAAAAACCCGTAACAGCACTTTCTATTGCTACTCACAAAAAAAAACCTATATAAACGCAGAGACAGACACATTTTCTCTGCAGAGATACTGTTTCAAGGCAATGGAGCAGAGTGAGAAAACCATATCGTCATATCCACCCTCCTTACGTGTGTAAACTACATGTGCATACACCAGCAGGAGGCAAACAATACCAGTATGAATAAACTCTCAAAAAAACTGATGTGCTTTTCAGAAAAGCACATCAGGTTGGTCTATAAAAACCAACCATGTGCCAAGAATATCAGGGCTATGTGACATTACAGCTGCTTTTTGTAATCCTACTGTTAAACCTACGAAGGATACTTCTTTCATAAGCATGGATTTTCAGGTGCAGGTCTTTATGACCTTACATCCATTTTGTGTGTATAATTTAAGCTTGACATGCAACTACAAGTCGAGTCCACAGCAGCTTCTGCCAGAATTTTCTTCCTCTGTGTGTGGTAGAAAGTAGATAAGTAAGGTTAGCACAGCACATAGGTCAGCTTGCTGCATAGCAACTGGATGCCACAGTCAGAGAACTGACCTATGAAAACACAGTATGTTTGTTTCTGAGTGGGCTTCTGCAGTGCTGACAGCTTCCCAGCCTTGAACACTGGGAGACAAAATCACAGCGACACATAAGCATCTACCGCATGTCAACCAATATCACGGGTATAAAAATGCAGATTTACCCACGAGAAAAGTTCCTAACATATTATCTTCTTTCAGAGTACCGGACCACGCACCGGGTCAGATCGAAACCCCTTCTTTAAACAGGTAAAACCTCTTCTATAGTGGTGATGATTAGTAAAACGTACGCGTTTCCATATATCAGACGGAGGACGGGAGGAGCAGACAGAGAGGAAGATAAAACAGAGACAGGACTGCCCATCAGCAGGGAGGCTCATACTAGTTTGATGGCTGTAAGTGAAATAAGCTCTCCTCACATCTAAGCACCATGAAAATGTGGAGCCACTCCTGGCGCTGCAGGGAAGACTGGGGGGGACAAGCTGATGCTTAGTAGAGTCTATGATTTTTATCACATAAACTACTGAAGAAAGAATTGCTGCGCTTGCCATTGTTAAATTGACAATTTTTCAAAACCCTGAATATGAGTCTTAGATTTTTTTTTTTCATTTTCTACAAATATGCTTAAAAGTGATGATCACTTTCAAGTTTACTTTCACTACATGACATCAGAATCCCATTAATTCTGAGCATCTAAAATATTTGTCTTAAACTTTATATTTAATAACAATTGCAAAACACACAAAAACTTGAGATTTTCCTTTTAACCAACAAAAAGCTCAATATTCTTTCAAAATGTCCAAACAATCTTAAAATTAGGCAAAAAATAAAATAGGACATATGGCACTCTTTTTGTCTCCCACCATGATATTCTGGTGACAAAGTTGGTTCTGAATTATAATCATCTCTTTTTCCTTATTATGAAAGAAAAAAGATTATTTAGGGCTGTAAAACCCCGTTCTTCACGATCCTGAATAAAAGATGAATTTCAATCAGTAAAGCTCGTATTTTGAATCTTAATTCCCAAAGTAGTAGAGCAGAATTAGTTTGCTCATCCTTGTTATCCAATGATCTATGAACTCCAGTACAGTTTAACAAGGCTCACTCAAACTATACCACATAATCTAATTTTGCCAATGGAGGTGTGATGATTATCATGAAACAAACAAACAGAAACTACAGCTCATCATAAAACACAAGTTCTTACTTTTGACGGTGAGGTACATGGACTTGCTGACATCAGCTCCGACGTCGTTGCTGACCTTACACAGGTAGAAGCCACTGTCGTCCTCCAGAACATGTTTGATGAGCAGCGAGCCGTTGCTCAGTAGCTGGATTCGAGAGCCGCTGTTCAGGAGGATGGGCTGAAACTGGGGGACGCCGGCACCTGATGCAAGAAGATTAGGCAAAACAATTTTTTTTTTAGGAAAAGCAGATTTGTGTAGCTTATACCATATGTAGAACATATCTTACAGATGTCCTGTTACATTTGAAAGTTTTACATCATCAGACAAACTAAACCAAAAAACCTATTTTCAATTAATGATTCAAATTATTAGGGGACTCCAAACCGCCCAATACCATGTTTGGTAGCAACAGTTGCAATCAAGCGTTTGCAAAAACTACCGATGACCTCTGTCTGTGTGGAGGAATTTCTGGCCCAATAAAGAGTTATTTTATCCAGCAACATCAATGATTTTCTGAGCAGGAACACACAAACTAAGGTCACGTATGATAATTGGATGTAAGTTCAGACATTGACGTGGCCACTTCAAAACCTTCATTTTCCAGAGGTTGAATTCCTGTTGTGCTGTGATCGCTGTCATCACCTGAATGTATTTGAGCTGAAGTTCATAAAGTGATGTCTGACATCCTTGCAAAATATCACATCAGAATCCACTTTTTTAGCCCAAAAACACATTTTGTTGTGTACTTGTGTACTATGAGTGCAGAAATTTTGAATTTTGTCTCTTCTGGTGATTCATAGATGAACTGATTGGGTGAAATTTTTCAATCAGTTCAGTTTTTTCTATTTGTATCACAGTATTTGCTGCAAAACTGATAAATGAGATCAAGGACTTCCTCTTACCAATTTTGCAAATCTGCCATTTTTTTTTCTTCCATTAATTTTCTACTCTAAGATCAAAACTGCCAAAGTCAAAATGCTGTTGGTTGTATTAACACACAATTCCTCACACTGTCTCCCAGCATCAGAACCTCTTCAAAATGCCTGGTTAAATTGATCTTTTCTTGGAAATGTAGCCACATCAAGAAGGAAAGTCCTCTTTGTTTGAGTGAAGCATTTCAGCGATAAGTGCTTCAGCAACTTCTGCCAGTATTAAGATGGAATTGCTGAAAATTTTTTTCTAATTGAGGGGTCAGTTCCTTCTGGCTATGGAAACAATGGACACAACAACGTGGTAAGTCACATAGAAATAACAACAAACTTTCTTTGTCCTGACCATTGTTTTGATAGCATCGTCCCTTCTGCTTATGTAAGCACTGTGAGCTCGCTTCCAGGTCCTTGAACACAAAATCATACTGCCTGTTTTCAACCATATTATTACACAAACAGTTTGGTATTGTTTTGTATGCTCCTAATTCATTTAGTGATGTTCTTAACGCTGGCATCAGAGAACTCACTAAATGTGTTGAGATCTCGCCGTCAAGACATATTTATTCATATTGTGGTAAAATGTTCTGGCTTGAACATGTAGGACCAAGTCTTCTGTTGTTGCTGTTGTCTTTCAATCAATTTGGGAATAAAAAGTTTGTGTGCTGCTAAATAATAATATGTTTGCTGTCAAATTATAAAAATGTCTGAATGAGGCTGAATGGAATGCTCTATTCGGCATCTTTTATTTAACTTACTCCTTGATGCTACTGTGTGATTATTGAAATGTAACCCCCTGGGTTCCCAGAAATATTGTTGTTTTGAAAAATAACAAACTTAATATCTTAAAGTAAGATATAATAATGTCAAAGTCTTTTAGTAGGAGTTTGAAATGAGCAAGAGTTCATTAAAAAGAAAAAACAGTTGAAGTAAAAAGTATTAAAATATTGTGTTCTGTTACTTTAAGAACGAACAATTATTGTATAGTTTGTATGTAAAGTACAGCTCAACACGAGGTGTGACACTAGAATGCTGTGTGTTTTGTTGTTCTGCCTAAGGTCAGTTACTATTGGGTGATTGCACTTTTCCTGAGTTCTGATTGACTGGGGGGCGGGACTAAAGAGAGTACCGCGGGAGAGGAGAGCAGAACAAGAAAGGGGAGAGACGACGCGGGTACTCAGTGGAGTTAGCTGGAACTTTTGTGAGCCGTTTCGGTGGAATACCGGCTACAAAGTGCCCCAACTTGGCTGTGGACTAGCACCAAGGGACAGCTGACGGATCGAGGAAGAAGCGAGCGGTGAGCTGGATGCGGAGGTCTGCATTGGAGCTGTCGAGACCCACTACACCTGTGTCGGGCCTGCTGTGTTGGAGTTGGCTGCGGTTTCCTCCGCCTCTACCCAAAAGGCGCGGATTAACCGACAGATGTCTGTGAGATGAGCCGTCAGGAACTGTACACCTGTCACCGTGAATTGAGGACCAAGGGTGAGTGTCTTCAGTATCAGGCCTGCAACGGGGGTTTATAGACTATTTTGCCGGCTTTAATTTGTTTTATTTTTGGTGGGCCCACTCATTAAAGACTGTCAATTGTTTTATGTTTTTGGTGTTCAAACTAAAGGACTCCGATGTGTTCGGGACTGTTCCACATAATTTAGTTTGGGACTACATGAACATTTATAAGGAAGGGAAAGTCCCTATTTAAAAACCAGGTGGTTGAGAAAGCCTGGGTAGTATTTGTTTTTCATCTGTTTGGTTATTTGATGGTTAAGAACCACCAAAAGGTGTTGTTTTGAATTATATTACCTTTACAGACATAGGGTCTGCTGGTGACCATATTCAGTGTGAGGGTATATTTTCACATGTGGTTTACTTTATTTTTGTTCTGAAGTTTGGTAAATAAATACTTTACCTGAATAAAGTCTCATCATTTATGGGTCAGACATAGGCAGTTCAACTAAGTTGAATGACAAAACAGTACCTGGTGTTTCATGGGAAATGTAGTGAAACCAGTTTCTTGGGGCGTAACATTAAATAATTAGAACCCAGAGTGCTAAATCTAGCCTAGATACCAGGAAGCGCTACAGAAAGTTAACCAACATTATTGCTAATTATGTTTAAATCAGAACATAGCAAATGAGATATATTCATATAATGATAGACTGGTTTAGATGGACTATTTCCCAAAAATTAACCTATTTGACAAAAGCTTTGCTTATTTACTCTGGGTAACTTTTTCTCCTTTGAAGATCTAAAGCATTTTAGAAGAAATCTGAAAAAAAAATCTGTAAGGGAAAAGACTTCTCACAGCACTGTTTTTGCATTCCTGCTGTTTATCTGCCCATATAGGAAAAAAAGAACAAGTTGCGCCTTTCATTTTGATGTACAATGTATGATGAAAATGTATGTTAAGTTGAGTGTATATTATTGAAGCATTGAATCTATAGAAAACATGATAGACATTCCAAAGAACACAACTAAAGCAAAAAATAAAATAAGTTTGTAATAATTTCCTACAGATCTTATTTTAAATACTACAAATCACTTTACTAATTACTCAGTCAGCTGAATCCATTCTCTGTGATCCAGAGTTAGCAAGGCCTGAAGCCTGCCTCTCATGAATTCACAGTCAGACCCCATCAAAGACAGAAAAACACATTTGATTCTTTTATTCCTTTGATCATTGAAGCTGACCAACACACCCCCACACACACACACACGCACGCACGCACGCACACTTATCCAAAGTCACTCTACTCTGTTGTTGTCCTTCTTTCATCCCAGGTTATATGAATGATGAAGCAAACATCTGGTCCTCCTCTTCATCTGCACTGCTCAAGTGGCTGAACGCACCTGCTGCCCTGCTGTTTCCCACTCCATCTGTTCAGTCAGCCTGCGTCTCTCCCTGATTTTCTCTTGATTAAGGTGGAGACTGCGAACTCTCAAATCATCTGTGCTTAATGTACCTTTTGAGTGTTCCCAAACAATAGTGGGTGGTGGATAGCCTTCAGCAGAGCAGTTAAGGGTCACAGTTTTCCCATAGATTCCATCTTGATCCTCAGGCTGAACCACAAACTGAGGTGGAACTATGCACAAACACAAATGAAGAACAGCGTTTTATTATGCACCATACATTTAATATCTTTAACACAGGAAGAGTGTATTTCTTAAATATTTGTTACAAAAAAGACTTTCATTGGGGAACGTGAAACAAAGAAGTGCACAGATACATGGTGTTTTTGTTTACAGAGATTTGATCAATGACTGGTCAGAAACTCAAAATTATAATATTTTTTGTTTTTTAGAACAACAGAAGTATTTAAAAAATAAGTCAAAGAGAAGAAGAAATGTGTTTGAAAGAAAATTACTTTCTTTGAAAATGTATGCTAAGTTGGGGGCTTGCTAATATGTAATTGAACTTGAAATGCACAGAAAATATGATAGACACCCAATATCTTTAGCATGTTTGAAGTTCAGTCAGAATAAAGCCCTAAAGACTTTGTAAACAATAGGAACGTCATGTGGTAGAAAACAGATCTTTTAAACACTTTTGAGCTGTAAACATACTAAGAAAGCAATTTGACAACTTATGCTTCTAATATAAAATAACTATCACTCTTAGGGAAAAACAATTCTAATTGTCTACAATTAACAGCAGAAAGTTACAAAAACTGGAGGTCAGAAATGGACTATACAAGTCTCATTGGTGAATCTCTAGAATTTTAACCCCAATCTTAACCCCAATGGTAACCCCAATCTTACCATTGGTAAGATTGGTAACCCAATGGTTACCCCAAGGTAACCCCAATGGTTACCGTGGTTAAGATTTGGGTTAAGATTGGGGTTACCATTGGGGTTACCAATGGGGTTAAGATTGGGGTTACCATTGGGGTTAAGATTGGGGTTACCATTGGGGATAAGATTGGGGTTACCATTGGGGATAAGATTGGGGTTACCATTGGGGCTAAGATTGGGGTTATCACTGGGGTTAAGATTGGGGTTACCATTGGGGTTAAAATTGGGGTTACCATTGGGGATAAGATTGGGCTTACCATTGGGGCTAAGATTGGGGTTATCACTGGGGTTAAGATTGGGGTTACCAATGGGGTTAAGATTGGGGTTACCTTTGGGGTTAAGATTGGGGTTACCATTGGGGTTAAGATTGGGGTGACCATTGGATTTAATATTGGGGTTAAGATTGGGGTTACCATGCATGCAGCTCAGGGTCACATCAAGGGCAAAGTTGGTTTGCTTTCTTACCTCGAACAATAAGCTGACTCTGATGCTCTACAACAGCGGCCTCGTTTCGGGCGATGCAGGTGTAGTTGCCGTTGTGGTCAGGTGTCAGGTTGTTTATTCGCAGTGAGCTGGTGAAGTCGATGTTGTCGACCGTCACACCCAAGCTGGCGGGGATTGGCCGTCCATCTTTCTGCCAGGTGATATCTAGTGGCCGGTCGCCCGACATGACCACGCAAGGTATGAACACACGCTGACCGATAGTGAAGCGCTGAAACTCAAAGGGCTGGATGTATGGAGGGACTGTAGAAAAGAGAAAAAAAGAAAACACCAAATGCCACCTTTTGGTGTTGATCTACAGAAATAGTCTGCAGAAAAAATCTGAACCAACTCATTTATTGTTTTCGGCCATTTGAAATCGGATCATTTTGACACAGTGTAAAAAACTGTGTGAAGCCTGATGTATGTGAAAAAAATTGTGTCTGGAGCAAGCAATTTAGGTCAAAGAAAGGGAAATGTTTGTTAGAAAATAAAATGCTTTGCTAAACAAACAAACATTGAACCTTCACACATTAAAATATAAAAATCCAAAAAATACAAGTGGAAGAAAAATGATAAATTCTTTCTTTCTTGTGATGGACACATGTTTCAATAATTTCACAATAGATTTTCTAAATGGTGTGTCTTTTTTTTATATATCTAAAGAAACTTTTGATCCACGTCTTTTTCATCAGTCCTGCCCATTTAAGCTCTAAACATTCAAAAACTCAACTGGTTTATGCATACATTTTGTTTCTTCATTCATCACACAGTAATTGAGTCGAATGTAGATGTAAAACATAATGGTCTCATTCCAGTGCATATACTCAAGTCTTATAAAGGTGAGGCGGATTTCTAAGATGACTCCACTGCTGAGTGGGTCAGGAAACTGAGTCTGGCTGCAGAATCACACAGTTATATGATAATAATGTATTCAAATTACTTGCTCTGTATTCACTGGGAAATCTCCGACCATCGCACAAGTCATCAACGAGTGTGTCCAAGCGAGTTCAAACAGCACTGAAATACGCTGCACTTTAGCAGCTTATTTAATTCAAAACAAAGTGGAGATAATGGACTCCAGGGATTCCCCCAAAACACTTCCACATTTTAAGCATGAGTAGAGTAAATTAACAAATGCACTTGCTCGCTACAGCACCACTGGGAAGGCTTGCTTTATATCATCATGCTCTCCTATGCTATCAGTCTCTTTTTGCCCCGGTTTTCTTTGCTCCACGGGAAAGTGTTTTATAGTGACAACAAGGCACCTTAATGGAGGCATAATGGGGAAGCCCTTTTTAGTATTACCTATTACAGTTGTAAGATCTCAGAGGAGATCAGTCATTCAGCCCAGTAATATCATAAATGAATCACACAGCTTTATATGCATTGATACAGTGACTTGACTCGCCTAATAAAGTCAACTTCTTCCCCTGGGAATTTTAGCCCGTAGATTTTAATTTACAAATTCAATCATGTCTGTTTATTGCATGCTGCTGCTTTTGGGAGTAGAAAGGTTAAAGAGCAATGACACGAGCTCATCATAAAGCTCCATCAAATAAAGGAAGTGAACTTTATGGAAACAGATGATATCATACCTACCTTAACAATTTATTCAAATTGTTGGAAATACAGTGGGGTTAACAAAATGTTGTGCTGAATGATCAGGCTATTATTATAAACACAGGCCAAAAACAAACTATTTTGTTTCTGGTCATGTTGTAGGACCTTCCACCACCATTTAATGGCAACAATATGGTTCAAAACAAAAACAATTTGGATGATAAAATCAACCCCTCGGCAGGAGACAGTGAAAAAGAGGGAAATAGTTTGCTTTACACTCAATTAATTAATTGTATTTTGACTAAAAACAAAAACATTTTAGAAGCTCACCAGTGTTTTAATGCACAAATGTGAAATAACACATTTTAAAAGAAAATTACTTTCTAAAATATGCTACATTTTTAGGTTAGTACCCTCTTAATAAATATTTAAAAATGTCCCATTAAAACTACAGAGTGGTCCTTTTTTTTACTGTTGTTTACCTTACAAATAAATAAATTAACATGAAACTGAGCAAACCTTTTCACCTGTTAAACACTCACCTCTAACCCGAACATGGACACTTTGGGACTCCATCTTGTTGGGTTGAACCATCACCTTGCAGTTGTACTCCCCAGCATCCACCTGCTGCACGTTGCTCAACTTCAAGGTACCGTTATTCTCAAAAGCTCGCTGTCGGTGATTGAAAGGGAGCAAAACCGAGTTTTTGTACCACTTTATGGAGTAGTAAGGGTAGCCAATCACACGGCAGTGAACAAAGGCGTCCCGTCCCGCAATTGCTGTGATGTTTTTCATTGGGCGGATGCTTGCTCGGCCTACAAACGGACAGAGAGTGAGAATTGGTTCTCAGTTCAAAAATACTGAAAGAGACCAGAGTATTGATATCACATCCAACTAGCTGCTAAATTGGCTCTGCCTTGTTATTTTATTTAGTGAAATAACTAAGTATACTGGGAACAAGTAATTGTCCTACTTACAGTTCTGTCACACATGCCTCAAATCATCAAAAGAATCTAATATCAAACAAAAATAATCCGATTAAATACAAAATTTTTGAAATGGTTTATTTATTGAACAAAAAGCCTACCATTACCTACATGCCCCTTTGAAAAGTCATGGATTAATTGTGATTAATCATATTTTACTATCCAATTCCTTTAACCACACCTTGGCTTGTTTCATCCTAGCCCTGAAAAATGAGAACCTGACTGGAAACATTGAAGTGGGCTGAAAATTCATGAGATGAAACCTAAAGAAAATCAAGACCAGACAAGAAAAATAGGCAGTTACTTCAGTCAAATATTTTTCTAATCCTTTTGCACTCCAGCGATCCGCAGTGAAAGACATTATTAACAAACCAAAATCACTCCTAGAGCGCATTAATGACTCATCACCAAGGTCACAACAACTAAATCATGGGAGGCCTCACCTGCCTCAAGACCAAAACCACAGCTAGCCATTAAAACCACTAAGACATCCCAAAATCATCCTGATGAAAACATGTTTTAGACTGATGAGTAAAAAGTGAAATATTTTGAAGGTGAGCATCCTGGTATATTTGCTGAGATTTGCTGCTTCACAATCGGAATGACTTGCCCTTATTGATAAAGCCATCAATTCTTCCGTCTACCACTTAAATTCATGCACATACCAGGAAAGACCTAACTATGACATGACCACAAAGAGGCTTGAAAACCTTCCAGTGCGAATGAATCAAGACGATTCTTCAAAAAACGTGTTGGCCAAAACTCCTCCACAGTCAAAGATTTACTCTGGTTGGTTTTGTCTGGGCACCAAAATCTGTAGGAGGGAAAATATTTTCACATACCACGGTATAATTTCTATGTAGTTTCAGTTTTTCTACTTGCCACCAAATACAAAGTAAATCTGCTGTTTTAAGCTTCCGTTGCACAAGCTCTAATTGTAACTATGCATAGAGGCGGTGAAATGACAAGCAGATGAAAGTACGCTAACTATCTGAAGGAAATGTAATATTTAAATAACACTTTCTCTGTAATACACTAAGCATCAAGTAAAATGTAAAGCATTCAGAGTCTCATCCTGTATCTATTAAAATGGAAACAGAGTAATCTCTTTAACATCTGTTAGAGAAAAGCTGAACAGGCTGCTTGAGTAAATACATGCAGACACAGACACACATGAATAGTCACTTGCACTCACAACCACATTGCAGATGAATGTACTCAGACAGAGGAAATATATTTGTCTTCTGGCTATTTACAAACCATATTCAGACAAATTTATGAGCTAAAAATCCAGATAATTATGTTAACTTATGAATACAGCTGTGATCAAACTGTAATAATTCAAAGAGACAATAATATATACTATTCAAGGCTGAAAGAAACAGAAAGAGGCAAACTGAGGCTATTGAGTGAAGACTTAAAGGGAACACCACGTAATAAGAGTTAATAAGGCAAATAAAATTACTGTGCAAAATACTGCATTAAAAAAACTCAAAGAAACCTTCAGAAAAAAAAAGAAATAAGCTACAGTTCATATTCCAGACAACAGCATTTGTTCCTTCACTGCAGACACACACAAAGAGACACACAGTTTGTGTATTGTTGTTCTTGGAGGAGCTGATTTGACAAGCACCTCTTACGTTTATTCGAGCCTGGTGGTACACGACCCCGGCCGAGTTGCTGCACGTGCACCGATACAACCCGCCGTCCGGCACCTGAGTGTGGGTCACGTTGAGCTGGCTAACCACGTGGCCCTCGTGGGTCTCATAATGGCCCAGGTGGTGATGGGCATCTTTGATGACGGGGTCATCATCCAGCGACCAGCTGCACCTGGGAGGCGGCGTTCCCTTCACGTTGCAGACTAGGAACAGGGGTTCGTTAGGGTTCACCACCTTCTCGCTGAAAGAGGATAAGATTTTTGGGGTCCCGTCTGCATTGGGGTATGAGGCAGAGCACAGTGGGAATGAAACAGAAGGTCAGTCAATCAAAGCATTGTGTTCGGCATCTGTCCAGATGGTACAATATATTTTGACTTCAACAAAACTGTTATCAAATCATTCTGCATGCTTAAACCACATAAATGTAAAACTTAGACACTCAAAGACCCAAACTGTTTAATTTGAGAAAGTTTCATTTATTGAACACAACTTTTTAAAATTATTTCAGCAAATTCTCCTTCAAACAATGTATAGTGATTGTTTAACAATTCAACTAAATCACAAGCATTTAGCAGCGACCTGGTTTGTCAGATCATCGTTGCAATTTCCAGTGTCAGTATTTTGCTTGAAAAAAGTCAGAAAGTCTTTCTTCTGAAAATAGGAGATAGAAATACAACTCTGGAAATATTGTAAAAATTGCCGCAAAAAATTTAACAAATAAAGGCGAAGCATGAATTTATTCATATTCGACTGTATTTTAAAGTGAGTCCACATAGGATATAAAGAGCTAATTTAATAATTTTACGCATGAAGAGTGAATATAAATTCTAGATTATTTCTTGGCTTTGCGCTTGAGCTCCGATTTTCTTTTCAGGATGGACTGATTCTATCTATTGAACTTCAATAAACTTTATAAATAAGTCTGAGCGCACAAATTTATTGTGTATTTAGATGCAGCTATCTTCTTGAGCTGTATTTATGCAACTCAAGCCTTGTTTTTTGTTCCTGGCGTTTTTCTCTCACACATTCAGTGTAGTTGGCTTTCGAATTCTCTCTTCCTGCCTGCAGTTTCTCTCTGGTAATCCAGGTTTGTTCCATGTGATTATAGATTATCAATATCTTCTTCTTATGCCGCCCCAACCACAGAAGACAGTTGCCTAAGCAACGGCGCCAAGGTTGATCATGAGCATTCATGTGCATGTGTTTCTGTCTGCGTTTGTGTTAAATCTAGTGTGATCGTACTTGTGGTGGATTGGAGTCACTGCCCCATAAACTTCAAGTTAATATCCAACTCATTGATTATGCATAGAGCAGCTGCTAATTCGCCTGCACACATGGGTTCTTAGATTAAAGGAGCATTTTACCTTCAAGGATAACCTGTACGAAGTCTTGTGCCGACATCTTGCCCTTCCTGGCGAAGCACTGATAAGCTCCGCCATCACTTTTCGTCATTCCCTCGATGATTATGTTCTCCCGGTTAAGCCCTGTGAAGCGAACATTGTTTCCAGGGTAGATGATCTCTCCATTGCGATACCAAGAGAGCTCGTATTCATCGGAACCGCTCACGCTACAAGACAGAGACACCTTGCTTCCCACACTGCCTTTCACTTTTCGAGGACTGACCATTGCCTTCAAGGGCTCTGCGGACACAGAAAACAGAATTACTGTCGCACACAAGTTGTTTTCTATCACTTTGATGGTAAAATTGAAGAGTTAAGAAAAATTGTCAGTAAAGGCAGTGTTCTTTGATGAGACTTACGCTTAACATACAGGCGACCCATGACCTCTGCGTTGCCATAGCTGTTCCAAACTTCACATACATATGTTCCCGAATCAATGGGCTGTGCATTCTCTATGAGCAACCCTGAGATGGTCTGGCGAAAGCGACTGTCTGGCTCCAAGGGGCTGTTGTCCTTCAGCCAGCGGTATTTGGGTGTGGGGAAGCCTGAGGCCTTACAGGGCAGCTCCACTCGATGATTAATCTTCACCTCTTTGTGGTCAAAGCCGTCCAAGATGGCTGGCTCAGCATTGGTGGGATCTGGACAGAGGAGAGAATTTGGGTTAATTAGTTGTGAGCATCGCCAAATCAGAATGTTGGTCGTTGTAATCTAACACAAATAGTTGGGGTCAATATTTGTTTTCTATCAACATCATCTGTGGTACTTTGAAAAAGTATTCACACCCCATTGATGTTTTTCACATCAATGGGGGATGTTACAACCATTCGTATCAATAATACATGTTTTTTTGTTTTGGAGAAGCATGATGTGGTAGTGAATTGTGTCCACTTATAGACCACATTTGTGACAAAAGTCCTCAATCCTCCTGAACATACCATCAACCAACCTAGGGTCAAGTGAGATGGTGTCATGTGCTAGAAGAAAACCTACAGAAGAGTTGAGATGAAGAAAAGGGTTTGCTTTCCAGCATGACAACATCTCTAAATGTGCCACCACGAGCTGTAATGGGATAATTCAGATCAAAGTATATTCAAGTTTTAGAATGACCCAGTTAAAATCCAAAGCTAAACCTAATACAGACTCATTGGTTCACAGATGTTCTCGCTAACTGAGCTTCAGCTATGATGCAAAGAGAGGCAACAATCTCAGTTCATTGATGCACAAAGCTGACAGACACATACTCGCAAATAATTGCAGCTATAATGGCAATGGCAGGTTGTTCAGCAAAGTATTGACTCCAGCAGGATGAGTAGAAATACATGCCACACTTCTCAGATGTTTCTTAATTAAAAAGAATTAATTAAGAAACATCAACTGCAAACTGTAGTTGTGATGTGACAAAACATTCAAGGGGTTTGAAGACTTTTGCACTTTCAATCTAGTAATAAATCAATCTAAGGCACATTTCAGTTTATTTGGTCAACGTGACTGAAGCATGAAACCAGCATACTGACCTGACACAATGAGACGCGCGCTGTTGCTCTGCCGTGACTCACCGGTGTACCGGTGGCGTGTTGTGCAGCGGTAGTTATTTAGGCCATCCTCAGGCAGGACGTCCACAATGTACAAGGCTCCCGTAGATGTGATGAGATATCTTTGTCCTGGAGCAGATAGGAGAACAAGGTGAGACATGAGGGACAGCAGTTGTTAGACCGCTACACAGAATCAAAGCAACTTTTTACATCATAAAACATTCATTCACTCAGGCATATCTCAAGGATTTCTTTCTCCGTGGGATACCAGTTAAGAATAAATCTCAAAGCAAACAGAGTTTGTTATGTACATATTTAAACCAGTAATGTTAGTTGTGTTGGAACATAAAACACAAACTCTCTTCATAGCGCACCAGCAGTGTCAGAGCAATGAATTCAGATCTGCATATCTCAAGCATCTCTGATCTTTAATAGCGTTCATTGTCTTTGTGTTCCTGCTTACAGCGCAATCTCCCCAGTGTCACCGTTTGATAAAGAAAGCCAATTTTTCTTCGGCTGTCACTGCCAGTTCCTTAAGTGCAGTAACATTATGTTAATTCAACAGATCAAACTAGGCTGAGTGGGGTTGTCAACATCCATGAGGAAATAAACCTTCCTCTGCAGCATCAAATGGATCCTCACATTCCCATGGGACCAGACTGATGTCAGAATTGATTGTAAAATGGAATTTTAAGGAGACTGTCAGTGCTGTGTAAAGGTGAGTATTATAGGACAGAAAATGCACAAAAGGCCTCGGCTAGAAAATGGACAGTTTCAGAAACTTTGATTACAGAGAAGGTGACAGATTAAAGCAGTAGCACACCACTTAGAGCAAGGCACCTTGTTTTATTATTCCATTGATATTACAGTCGGAGCATCAAATTTCTTATTTAAATAAAACATAAATAAAAAAATCACTGAAATAACAGCATTTTTTGATCAGTTTTTTTTTTCTCACTTTTTTGGACATTTTATATAAACAAGTTGTTTTTCCAACAATTTGCTAATTAAGTGAATTAAGTATGTTTGTATAATTTGATCAGGGGTCATAATCTGTCAAATCTACAATTAATTAAAACAAAGAGAAATAAACTTTCACACCGTGGTTAAAATGCATCAGTGGAAAATATGTCTTGCACAGCAAAAATGTAATTAAAGGAGGCAAATTGTCCATGAACACTTTAATTAAGCTTATTGAAAAGACACCAACATATAAAAACAATGCTGAAGGTCTCAGACTGATCCAATCATTCTACAGACATGAGGCTTATTACCATAAAAAAAAAACTTTCATCTCTACCTAAAATTTTGATCTAGTAGAAGGCCAACACAAACAATGGATGACAGATTATGATAATAACCGGTGTTATTATACTGAAACAAGTAAAGTCTATATTAATTGCTGAAGCATCATTTTAAACTTAAAGACTGGAGTCTTTATGTATAATGTATATTCATGTTTCTGCAGAAAGATTTTTGAGAGAAGAACAAACATGCATCTTGTAAAGTTCAGTACAATATTAAGATAGCATGTTCTGCATCATTATTCTACAATCATCTATATATGTTTTTCCTAGCCACACTCAAGTTAAATTCACAAAGGATGAATAGTAGACAGCATCAAAGGAGTAATAATTAATTTTATTTTTCTGTGTAATTCCCAACAAGACACCAAAAACAAAAGCGAATATAAACAACATGTATTGCTTTAATCTTTTTTGTGTGCATGGAGAAAAAAACCCAACATCTTCCAAACAGACATGAACAAGCAAGTGGATGGTAATCTTGTCTCTGTGTGGGTGACCAAATTACATACAGGCTTATTTAGGCCTTGAAACATCATCCCCTATAGATCAGACCATATGTCAGGCTGTAATTACAGTCTTTCTCTATGTTTCATGTTAGTGAGGTAGGCTGCTGTACTGCACTGCATTACAAGCGTTTCAGGATGGATATGTCAATTTATGATACTGTCTGGACAAATTTGCTTTAAGAAAGAGAAAAACACTGAAGGATTTGGCACTTTTTTTTTTTTACAAAAACCGTGCTTTACTTTAATATTCATCCAGAGACTATTTACAAAAGAAGCTAAACATGTTTAATTTGCTAGCATTTTATATGCAATTGCTAGCATTTTAAATGCATTTCTTTTATGTTTACACAGGCAAAATGAAATCATCCTTGTGGGGTTCAGCAAAGTGGGGGAATAGCTGAGGTGGGGTGAAGCAAGACGAAACTGCTCAGCTATTGTAAGGACTGACCTAGATAGAACCGACAATGGATTCCATGGATATGATGTCCTGAAGGGGTTTCAAGGGTTTTACATACAAGGCTGTTAGACGGGCAACCAGCAAGTGAAATCTATAAACAGAGGGAGTGAGGGTGTGACTGCATGCGTGTGTGAGTGTGTGTGTATCTGTGTGTGCCCAGCAGCCATGTATGCATACCAGAAAGCCATACAATTGGTAAAAGGAATTATTTTCACTACTTAGGAAGGCCCGTTCTTAATAATTATTTTTGATATTTTGTTTTAATCCCACCATTTTCTTCATGTCTGCTCTGAAATAACTACATCTTGAAAGAGCAAAATCCCTGAAAAATACACATTGTGATTCAGACACAAAACCAACATTTAGGCATCACCTCCAAATCCATCCCCAACCATGCCTCACTTCTCTTTCTCGCTTCTGGCTTCTCCATTTTGATTCAGAACTGGCCCTCTGAAATCTCACTGTGGAATCCATCTTGAGTGAGACAAAATGGTATTTCACTCCAGCCGCTGTGAGCTGCAGCAATTTTCTCCTCAAGCACCCCTATGCTCCTGCAATACCTTTTAAGACATCAGAGCTCAGTTATTGTGTAATGACAAAATAAAGTGCAGGCAGAAAGGACACTGCAGCAGAGAAAGCAATTCAAAATGTATGCTATTGTGCTTCTGTTTTTTAATTTAGTTGCTCTTTCACCTGCTTACAGCATCAGCTTTTAGTAGGTTTTTCCTGAACACAGGAATAGATGTTGGAAAAAGGTACAAAATAATTTAAATACCGTAAATACACTGTGATACAGTGCAATGTAGAAACTGCTTTGGCTTAACTCAGGAGCTAATAGAAGTCCAAGTTCCCAGATGCATTAAAAATCCTCTTAGAAGATATTTTGGTGCTGTTGTCCGACAGTGGAGTCCCTCTCTCCATTCATACACAGCAGCGGCGCTGCAAAATGAAAAAGTGCTCCACTGCACCAGACACACTTTATCTAATCATCTCCACTTTTCCAGAGACAGGATCTAATACAAACAGTGGGCTCTTCTCAGCAGGCTAAATAAGCCCGGACATACAGATGAACTGGTGTCACACTGCCAATGTGCGCTCTGATGTCTCTGTGATTCAAATGAATGTCAAGCTGGTTTGATCTCAGCTGACAATTTTAAGACTAAATTAGACAAACTACCAGCATTTTTAGCCTAATTGGCTATGCAGTTTGCATCTGTCGCTCTGCATGATCAGAAGTGATTCATAAAATGCCCCAAAATGAACATATTTTTAGTGTTTATCCCAGCTTTAAAAGACAGCTTGGCAGGATGTCAAAAACATATTTACTTGAATAAATATATTAACATTATTTTTCAAGTCCCTTTACAGTGCTTAGCAAAAGATTTCCCAACCTTTTAATATTTCATATTTTGTTACATTACAGCATCACTGACTTCAGTGTATTTTATTGCAACAAACACACTTTGTGTTTTCCACTGTAAAGAGGAGGATGTTTTAAAGATTTTTCTTACTCACAAATGTCTGAAAAGTGTGGTGTGCATTTGTCTTTAGCTCGCCTATATCAATACATTACAAAGTGCTCTCAATTATGCTTCTAACCCTAACCCTCAAGGCTTGGTGTCTGGCAATGTTTAGTTGTGTCTCTGGTAAATCACATCTGAATCAAATGGATGAGTTACCTCCTCAGTATACAGTTAAGTTCTCCAGAGCTAATTACCTGATTATTCCAGACCTAGAGCTGCAGACTCATGCTCTATAGGCTGGGTATGAAAGTAACAGGTTTAAAAAAATTTAACAACAGGAATTCACTTCCGTAGAGGCTTGGTGACTTGGTGAGTTATTGCTGTTGTTTAAAGACAATGGCAGCTTTGCTTCTCAGTATACTGTGTACATGACACAGTGAGGAGGACTCCAGTTCTAGTCGGGTCAGCAAAGCCACAGAGATGATGAATGGTCTCATGAATGTACTAGGTCTGTGCAGCGACTACTTTAACCCACTTCAACTTTTCAGTGTCCTTTTGGACAAACCAATTATTAACCAATAGTTGTCACTAGTTCTCATCAAGCATAGAAGATGTTAGAAAAACCTTAAACCACTTAATTTACCCTCTGATGTTAATCTTTTTTTGAAAAATGAGATACATCACTTTGAAGGAAAAAGTTATTTAATGTCTTCCAGCTTTGAGTTACATTGTGAGATGACAGGCCACAGGGGAGCAACAAGTCAGATACCAGCTTTAATCTGCTTTGATTGAGGTCAGATCCCTGGACTAAACTCTACCTTAAAGCTCCTCTGGCTGATGCATAGCTGAAATCAGTCCAATGACTATTCTGCAGGCAGGACAGCTAATGTTAAAGCCTGACTTTCTAATTATTTGAATATTCAGGAGCAAGCCATATTGATAGTGACAAAAATTAAGTTAAATTTAAATAATTTCATAGCCATGCATCACTTGCCGTAGTTGGATGTACTCTGTTCTCACCCAATGGCTGCTGGAGATTACCACCAGCCACCATGACTTTACAACATGCTAAATATTGCAGGGGGTACTCATTCACACCTAAGAGCAATTCAGAGTATCTACTTAACCTAACAAATTTCAAGCTTTTGTTGCTTTATAGAGTATATCTAAGGTATTTGCTGTAAACAGTCAATATGCAGTAACACTTCTGGTACTCCATCATCAAAAATTTGACTAAACACTATTTGAATCTATTGTTTGCATTTTAAGACACTTTAGAGAAGGAATAATGTCTATTCATACAATTGTTGACAAAAAGTCAGACAAATGTAAGATATATTTTGAATGAACAGTAGATAAGCAAAATTAATGTGCAGAAAGTTAAAATACAATTTAG